ATGCAGAATTTGTGTGAGGTGCAAGATCTGGGCCAGCGTGTGGACGATCGACTGAGGGTTCTAAAGGAACGCTTCGACGAGCGGCTGCATGCCCTCCAGGCCAGGGTCACAGGAGCCACCACATGCCACCGCTCTTTAAGCTCGGTCCAATTCCGGTTGCAGGGGCAACGGGTGAGGTCCTGTGAGTTCTGCGTTTTTTGAGTTTCTCGCGAGGAGTACTTACGCCAACCAGAGGTTGAGGCATCAAAAGCATTTTCCATCAATGTGCAACTTTCTCCATGCAACCCCTCCAAAGCTCACAATGCGAAGTCACTGCAATCGCCTTTCGGACAACGATCGTGCGTAATTTTACTCGACACCTTGTCGAAGGCGGCCTCCAGTGACGAGGCCACGGTGGTCATCCGCGAGGCTGCAGCTGAGAAAGCGCTGTTGCATGTGGGAAAGATGTGCACACGGAAACTGGGAGTGCAGGAGTCAGGTCCTCACCTACAAACGGCATACATGAAGAAACCATCAACAGCTGGGTTTCCGATCACTTCCACAACCAGACCGCCGGATGCAGGCTCAGGCAACTTGCGTTCGGTTGGCTGATGATGTCTTGGGCGTGGCAGAAGGCTCACAGAAGCATGGCTGCACTACTCAACTCCGGATTTTCGAAGGTGGAAGGACGTGCGTGCCGACCGGAACAAAGAAAATCTTGGATGCTGTGACGAGGAAGCACGCGGACAATTAAGGCACTACGTTGCACGGCCTCAACATTTGCTCACCTCCTTCTAAGCAGTCTTGGTCAAGAGATGGAACTGCAATGGGAGAAGTTCTCCATCGCAGTGCTATATCGAAGCTGACAAGCATGTAGCATAGAATCATTCATATGTAGAATAGACAAGCCGCGGCCCTGAAGATTCCGCATGACGACTGCCACTACGTGTAAGGGCTTGAGCACGAAGAAGAACGCGCCCTGGCCCAGCTTGACTTCAGGTTGTGAAGCTAGTTTTGGCTCGACTACTTTCAACCATTACGCCGCAGCGCGAGCCTGCAACAGCTCCAAGGTTCTACAAGCACCCCTCCTTATCACTTCGGCAAGGCATAATATAGTTTGACTGTCTTCGAATGCCTGAGAGTATGGCATCACCCTAATACCTACTTGTCTGGAATATGCAAGTAGCAAACCGTTACATGACAAAATCGACGAAAACGGAGCATACCAAAAATCAACATAGTAATAGATGATGTTATACAATGCGTTACATGCACGTCCACGCGCGTGTGTGTGTGTGTGTGTGTGTGTGTGTGTGTGTGTGTGTGTGTGTGTGTGTGTGTGTGTGTGTGTGTGTGTGTGTGTGTGTGTGTGTGTGTGTGTGTGTGTGTGTGTGTGTGTGTGTGTGTGTGTGTGTGTGTGTGTGTGTGTGTGTGTGTGTGTGTGTGTGTGTGTGTGTGTGTGTGTGTGTGTGTGTGTGTGTGTGTGTGTGTGTGTGTGTGTGTGTGTGTGTGTGTGTGTGTCTGTGTGTGTTGAGGAAGAAGGTCGAGGAGCTGGCCGGGCAAGTAGGTGCTTCGCAGCGCCGCCTCGAAGACTTGGAGAGGCAGACAGAGGCGGGGCCACGTGCCATCTGATGGATATTATACTTGTATATATGTATATATATATATATATATACACATATGTACATATATACATATATATATATATATGTATATGTATATGAAGTATGTATATATATATATATATATATATCTGTGTGCGTGCGCGTGTTTTGTGTGTGTATGTGTGTGTGTGTGTAGATGTGTTGGTCGGGTCGGGACTGATATGATCTGCCATGGCATGGCATGGTATGGTATGTACTAGTGTATGTATTAATGAATGCATTACTGTATGTATCAATCTATGTTTCTATGTGTGTATGTGTGTGTATTCGTATATACATGTGTACATACATACATGCATACATTCATATATATATATATATATATATATGTATATATATATATAAGTATGTATATGTGAATCATTGGTATATTTCTGTATTCGTCTGCTCACTTATCAATGTTTGCATAGATGCTTATCTGCATTTTGCAGATGAAGTGGCTTCCTGTTCTGGTTACATGAGAAGGGTGTCTGCTTCCTCGAAGGCTTTTGCACTTCAGGAGTTGTGTGTTGAAAGATGCTTGTCATTCTGGGCAGACTCAGCAATGACAGCATCCTTTGCTGGCATCCGAGCAGGGTCGGAAGTCTTCACACCATTCAGCGGCATGTCGCTGGATGCCTACAAGTAGTAAGGACTCCTGATCCAAACTACTCCTTACATTGTTGAATTTAACATGCCAGAACCGACGTCATGCAGGCAGGGATGCTAGCATGCATTTGGGAATTCTAGATTCAGAACGTTGAAACTTGCTCTTGAATCATCTTCCTGCCGAACTTCTTGCGGCACGCATCTGACCTGCCTCCTTTCCTGGCACCTATAGTGGAATCCAACATGCTGGCAGTCTTGCCGTATAGGAT